TGACTACTTCTACTATATCCACAAAGCATGCAGTTTCCTTGCTTTTCTTCCAAGGCCTCAACATATTAATATGGTACACTCCACAAGTTTTCCCTCGACTACCAACATCCACCTCATAATCTACAGTTGCCATTGTCCTTGTTATTCGAAATGGTCCTTCTGCCTGTAACTTCTGACGTCTTGATGGAATATCTCCCTTCCACTCTTCTTTCAAAACAGCCAGAGGTCTCCCGTCCACTATCCCTTTAACACAGCCAGAGGTTCTCTTACATGTCTTCCGTATAATAACTTAAATGGAGCAAATCATGTGCTTTCTTGTGGAACATCTCGGTGAGCAAAACACATATCACTTATAAGTTTAGACATAAAATTTGTTCCTTGACCACTAAGTAACACTTTTGGAATGCCTACTTGACAAAATCTCAATTAAACAATCTACTACTGTTTCAGCTTCCATATTTGGAATTTGTAAAGATTCAGGATATCTAGTAGCACAATCACACAACACCAATATATATTTATTACCTGTTTTACTTCTTGGTAAAGACCCTACCAGATCTATTGCTACCTTCTGATATGATACATCCACAATTGGCATTGATATCATCATAGCACTTTTTATGAGCATGTCTCTTAGCATATTGTTCAGCACACATTCTGCAATAATGTGCAGCATCTGAGAATATCCCTGGCCAATAAACATGATCCAGTAATCTTTGTTTTGTGTACCTAAAAGACTAGCTAAAGGAATATCATGAGTAATCCTTAACAACTCGCCTCTACACTTTAACGGGACCACCAAGTGAGTCACCTCAGCTGCTTCAGAGTTCATGACGAAATAATAGACCAGCTTTCAAAACAAAAAAACACCTCTATTTGCTATCACCACTACTACAAGGACAATGTCAATGTTACATTTGATTGCTGCAATTGTATCTAACTCCTCTCGTCCCAATTTGAATACGTCAAATACTTCATCATCACTTACTGGTAACGGAATCTCATCTTTATGATTCTCAACTTTATCTAACTCACCTTGATCATCTATGCTGTCATTAGTATCACCAACACCAAAAACACTTTCTGGCAGTTGCTCCACTGGTCTTGCATGAACACCTGTGAATTGTTCATTACACCTTACCTTAGCATTTTTCTCTTAATGCTTTACTTTTTCCTCTTGTGACAACATAAGCTGCACTCTCTTGACTATCTGTAGTCATACATACATACTCATTATCCAAGATAACATCTTCAGCTAAGGCATCTAAACACCTACATCCGGTTTTCAATATTCAATTCAAATGCACTCTTACAAGTATGCACGTTTTCATACAACCTTGACGTTATCAATGTCTGAGTACAACCTGTGTCCTGTAAAACTAAAACTTATCTAATTCATCAGTCCCTTGCACCTATGTACATCCATAAAACTACCATATGAACAATTGTCTACAGTTTTCTACATTCACCAACAGAATAAAATACTCCACTGCCCTTGCCTGATCCACTATTTGGTCCCGGCTTAAGATTCATAGGACTTGTTGTACTAATATGACCAGCTTTACCACACACATGAGTTTAATGATGTATTAGCTTGACTATTCTTTTTAGATTATGAACAGAATTAGATTGCCAATTTATATTTTTTTCATTTGATGCCATTGACTTATCTGCTTTAGGTTTACCACGAGCAGCAATATACTGCTCAGCTAATTTAATTTAATGACCTCATCTTTTGATTTAGGTTCAAATTCAAATTCCATTTTGGCACCCCATTCGGTAAACGACCCACATCCCACTTACACTCCTAAATCTGCTCTGGTATTTCTCTGCTGTCAACTCACATTTCTGAAAGATAGCTGCTTTAACTAAATCATAATCATTAGAGTCCTTATTTTTTTTTTATTAATTATCACTCATATTAGAAAATGCAGCCCGTGCTTTACCCGATAAATGAACTACCAATTTCAAAGCCCACATGTCTCTTAATATGTTCTTAAAATGAGAAATGTTAGGATCCTTGTCTACAATTTCAGTATTATCTGTACTATGCTCCCTACCTTCCATACGTAACTTCTCTAATTCACAATCCTGCAACTTCATTTTCTCTTCACGTTTTCTCTTTACTCCTCGACAATACTTACTACTTCCATGTTTCCCTTCTTTAGCTTCTGTTTAATTATAACCATCTGCAATTCATATTCATGCTCTTCGCGCCTGAGCCTCACTGTATCATGATGCTTTGGATCCCGATCCTGCAAGTCCTTATTTAAATCCCAAATCAGAATGTGGTGGTCCCCCCTAAAATAATCAGCAGCATCCCCTGTAACATTCATGCTCACAACTCGCACACTGACAAGTATAAAATGCAGCTATGGTACTCACCTATCAACGCATTGAAGGTAGGCATAACAACCACCAGTTGCTAAGCGAGTGAAGTATCCTCACGAGATGTTCCATACAATGTATCAATATCAATATGCAAATAACTAAATAAACGTCATAGCCTCAACTCATCACAGGGATCCAATCTCTTATATTAGCATTGATGCAACGTACCCTGCTTTTGTAGTCAGAAGCGGGAACTTGTGATTTGGGTGTCCTCCTCTGTCCTTACGTGCGCCCTTCCATCGTCATTTCTCAGACTTGCCGGGATCGATTTGTATCAGAGTTGGTACAATACACGTAGATTGACGGCTATTTTTCCCGGCAAAAACACCTTAATCGATATATGACAAAGTTATCTCATTCAAACTTGTAATTGTCATAAATTAAGCTAAGTTGCTGAAGTAAGTCTTTTTGTTTCGCTATGTAAATCAATGTTGGTGACTGGCGGACATTTACTCGTTTTTCTGATACATTTTAAAATTAGTCCCATGGGTGATTGATAACGATGTTGGTTTAAAGAAATCAAGTATTCCAAAGTTCTAAAATGCAATATAGTACAAGCATATTCGAGCCTTATGGGTGCATCTTTCTCGCTCTACAGACAAATTTGAATCACGACATTAGATAATGGAGCTACTATATTCGGAACATGAATGATTGAATTAAACAAGGCTAGATTGTCCATACACAGATCTGGCATGTTAATCAACATGACATGTTTAGTTTATGAAATAAGAGGTACTTCACAACTGTGTTGATATGTAGTGTCAACAATATATCAACAAATTAATTATTGATAGACGCTTTAATACACAATTATTATGCCCAACAATCCACACTCTGACAAAATAAATCACCACCAGTCCGGAAGCAGTCAATCAACTAATCGTGTAAATAGTTGTTTCAGTGAGGACTGGCCAGTGGTTCGAGGGGTAAATATAGGTTTGTGTGCGGGATATTTTCCGCTTTTGGAAGGGTATATTTGCACGTTTGGATGCGTAATTGTATTTATTTTCATGTAGTAGGTAGCTTACAATGGGCCACTAAACAACTCCCACAGTTCACTTGGGCACATGTATTTTTGTTTGTCAATACTTACGTTCAGTACAACACATAGTCTGAGATCCCTTAGCAGGTAGGACATCCGTTCTTTTTACCCATCGCAACGACAATTGTGTAGTTTTCCTTTTGTGAGTGCAAAAGCTGTGTGTGTAGTGACGAAAGGGGAAGTTAAAATCGCCAAAGAGTGGACAAATTTGTAATTACACAGTGGGAGGGCACTTTCTGAATGGACTAGAGAAAGGAAACAACCGAGCAGCTTTTGGGGTACCATAACGTTCGTTAATAACATTCAAAATTGATAGGAACAATTACATGAGCATTACCAAATAATTTGAATAGAAATGCGCAAGATCACTCTTTGGCTGCTTTTAGCAGTTACAAATCTTCAAAAGCCTTATACACATAATTGCAAATAGTCTAGAAGCAAAAGTCGCCGATCACAAACATTCAGTCCAATTAATGCGATAATCCGAATACTGGCAACAGCAACACCTCAATGTTGCCCTGTTGTGACCAGCACCACACATATTTAACGTATATAATCCTACATTTATCAACATAAAGAACCATTACATAATTTATTTCATTTCACCCATTGCGAAAATGACTATCATACGATCTCTTAATATTTACAACCACGTATATTTGGCAAATTAGCGTCCCTAAAAACGGCTCATAGAATGGAGAACCGGAATTATTGTTTTTTCATAATTATGTATGTATATAATGATGAAGAACATGGTTGTTCATGAAACATAACTAAGCAATAGATGTTCACTAAATATTTTTTCCCGATCTCCTCTATATTTGCAATCGAACATGATCATTATCATAGATGAGCATCCATAAACGGATTAAACGTGAATTCCGTTACATAGATTAGAACATTTTTAACACTACAAACTACACATGACAAGTTCTTCCGTTTTAACTGTACAAACTTGATCAGATACATATAATACACACAGTTCTATAGATAATTTCCCGTTCACTCCGAGATCACGCGTAATGCATGAACGACGCGGATTGAACATCTGTCGCAAAACCGAATGATTTGACTTTAAACTTGTTAGGCGTGAAATAACCAACAATTTTGCGCTTTTCGAATCCCACATTCACTGCGACGCTATGACCTTAGTTTGTCCTGTTTTACGTTCGGTTTTGTACATAACGCGGGTCCTCTCAATGAATAAAAACAATTTGAAAGGTATTCTTAAAATTAATGAACATATTCTCATTTATCTAAAATAGAACACTCAATTTAAATCACAGTCAGTTTATGTACCACCAACAATATATAAAGATAGTAAGACAATATGAGGTTATTACGAGGATACCTCTAAGAAAAGACAGCTGGACGTGTTTATATCGCGCAATCTTTCTATATTTGGAATTTACGCTTCCTAAAAGAGTAGGATATAAAAACCACAACATTACGACACTCACAAGTATAGAGATACTCTGATTGATGTATACTACTATCATATATAGTAAGCAAGGTTTCAATTGATTCACAAGGAACAAAAGTATGCACATGCTATACACAAACATCAAGCGCTTCTCTCTCTGATCACAACTTGATATGGTTCAGGAACCAATGTTAGCCCTAAAACACCATCAGTGCTAGGTTTCTTGGCTCCGACCGGTAAGCTGAACTTGAATTGGTTTATCATGGCTGAGAAGTATAGAAACAATTCATGTTTTGCCAACTGTTCACCCATACATACACGTCGACCTGTAACGAACAGAACAATGAGTGGAACAACTACACACAAATATACTATAAGCAAATTGTACATACATAGGTATTTGATATTGTTACCTATACCACTGTTACCACTTTACTGTAAACCGTGGTATAAGTAACAATATCAAATACCTATGTATGCATGTATCAAATAGAAATCCACTGTGGCTAAATACTGTAGAACAATAATTATAAACTGTATGCAATGTGGCTTGGACATCCGTTTTATAATACCTGCAGAAAATGGCATGAAGTGCTCAGACTTCTTGAGTGCATTGTTCTTTTCATCATAAAACCTCATAGGGTCAAATTTGTCTGGATCTGGCCAAATAGTTGTCTCTCTGTGAATTGACCTGCGATAAAATTGTAAAATAACGTTGGTGTTAGGAATAGTAAACTCTCCGATGTCGAATATCTTCTTATGAATGTGTTGATAAAAAATCAAGATTTATTTATCTGTATAGACTAGACGTAGTGCAGCTACGAAAGTTCAAAGGAATACGTATATATAAAACCTACCACAGTGAAATAATTATTTCCGTCCCCTTAGGAATATTATATCCATCAAGCGAAGTGTCTTTCAACGCACAATGTGGTAGTGAGAATGGTGCAATACTACCAAATCGCTGTATTTCCAAAAGCGTGGCTTCTGTATAAGGCAAGTTTTTACGATCGTCAAGTCTCGGGAGACGGTTTTCTCCAACAACCTGGAATCATGAGAAACCGGGATTACAAACACCGTTCAACACAATGTCTCAATAGTTCGATGCAGATGTGGCTATTTCACAATTATGCGATTCAAGGAAAGATACATCAAGCTTAATTCGCACATGCATTGTGTATAGTACGTACCTGATCAATTTCATTAAACACTTTGTCCTGTATTTCTGGATGAAGAACCATTAATAGTAACCCCCATTTAAGTGTAGTCGCTGTTGTTTCAGTTCCGGCAGAAAAAAGGTCGACTAATGTGTGTTTTAACTGGTCGTCTGTAAGATCTTTATTGCCGTCTTGTTTCATTGTCTCAGCTAAGTATGCATCGATGAAATCACCGATGTTGTCTGGGTCGAATACTTCACGGTGTTCATCAATCTGCTGCTTGCAGAATTTCTTCAGATCAGCACCAAGTGTATTGTAGTTATGTATATTTGATCGATTAAATGGTCTTCGAAACGGTAGAAAATCAAGTTCGTACATAGTGCCCATGACCTCAAACCATTTGCCCATAGTGTCGATAATGAAATTGAATTTTGGGTCCGAATAGTTGAATCGTTTGCCAAACGTTATCGAACAAATTACGTTGGAAACACTTCTGTTAAGGATAGCGCCTGTGTCGATAGGTTTATCTTGAAGATCCTTAAAATATAACATAATACAATGGTGTGACATATAATATCGAGCAATTTCACAGACGGTGTTTTAGCTAAATATATCTTTGCAACCCCATGTACATTGACTTTACCACATAAACCTTTCTGGAAAAATTAGATCAAGTCTTACTTAATGCATGTAACACGAGTTCTGATTGGTTTGGCAGATGTATAGAGCGGATAGGGCCTGTGTCGATCGAATTTTAATACTGATCCTTACCCTAAATTCATCCAACAAGAAAGAGATTTCCTCACATATTTTACTCTCCATGCTTGTTTTACCAAATCCAAAGCCTCTAAGCGTTGTGTGGGCAAATTGTCGGCGACGTTGCCATTTTTCATTGAAGCGTCCATCAGCAATACCTGGCGATAGACGGACGGTTATTACATGAAATAAAACTATAGAGAACAAATGGCACTAATCTACTTTTTTTTATACAATAAGTGGTCCCAATCGTTGGCTGTTTTGAATTGTTTTTTTTAGTTAATTATTTACATTTGTAATTGATTTTAATTAGTACCTTCATATCTTGGATTATATTGTTCAACTATCCAAGAATATGGTCTATCAGCAAAATCGTTTCCCTTTTTTACCAGACATTCTTTTATGGCATTCACTCCATTTACAACAACGGATATGCGGGACCCCATCTTTACACTGTAAACATCACCATATGTCTTTGAGAGTTTCATCATGTCTTTGTGTATATCTGATCCGAAGTACATAAAGCTGCCAATGATAGGTAAGCCCCAAGGTCCGGGTGGGAAGTTCTTGCAAGGTGCCAGGTAGTGTTGGGTGGTTATCCATACTAACAACATTATCATCAACAACACCAGTAGTGATAGCGGATCAGTTGGCACAAACATCATTTTGGTACAACTTCACGAACGGATCAATCAATCAGATATTCTGTCAAAATAATAGTAAAATATTATAAAATATGTATAACATCTGGTAATACAAATGATATGTCAGCTAGTTATTAACATGCGAGTGAGACTACTACATAGACACAGAACGTAAGTGCCCACCAAGGTAATCATTATTTGGCGGTAGAGTTATTCTGGAAGGTTATCAGTTGTTGGTAAGTGAGGCATTGGAAACATTAACCATTTTATATTTATTCGTATGAGCTGATTGCATGTTATGTAAAATAGACTTATGATTTGGGCCCGGCCATCTGGTGTCAATTATCTGACAAACAGATTTCAGTCAAATTTGGTATTGACATCATACTTTATTTCAACATTCAACATTTTTATACACATACATTTTTTGTCAACTTTTGACCGACTTATCAAATTTTAATGAACATAGTGCATAGCTGCGCTGGGGTAATGCTCAGATCTGATTACATAATTTGCATATTAATTAGCCAATTTTAAGCATTGCACTTGTTTCTCACGTACCGTTCAATAGAATTTAATGAAACATGGTACATAGACATGGTCAAAATAATACATATTTCAATGATTATGCATGTAATAAACACAATCTTTGCTTTATGTGTATCAAATAAGTGCTTCTTATACAGTACATACAGTATTCCTTATATGTACTCCAATACCTTCTGCACACGGGAGTTCTTTCTAAGCTTTTTTTGATTTGTATATTGTCTCTTATTTTTCTGATACATGTAACCGAATTTACTTTAATTTGGCAAGGCAAGACATCATTTTCTAGTTCTTGCCGTTTTCTTTTTTGACAATTTACAAAAGATAGCTGGATAATACCATGTAAATTATCTTTTTCAGTCCCCATGTGCAAGGAGACAAGATTGAGTCCGCCATTTAAAACAGAGATTAAAACAAGTGAATATCTGTATTCGTGAAATCAGTCAACGCAGGTATGACACTGGCATGGCAATGATTGTCACCAGACACCATTCGACCATCTTGAATTGGTTAACCAAAGAAATGCGCGTCCATATGTGTGACATGGTACATGATATGTTGTGTGAATGTTATCTGTAAAGGCATCTCGGAGATATAGCCCCGTAAAAGTATCAATTTATACAATATGGCCGCTAGTGGGTCATTTAAAAAACTAAACTAAAACGTTAATTGGTTCCGATTAAACAAACAAAACGTGATATTTTCACTACAGTTTCTCTGAACTAATTCAGGTGACGCCATATTATTATTCATTATTGTGACATCCGCCTTCATCCTTGGGACATTGTCTTTATTTACGAGTAGCATTCTACCGTAAATAATACATGTTTAATGAAGATGAGATCAAAAATATAATAAATATTGAAAAAATATAAATTTACATCCCATGTAATTACAGCAAAGAGATATGACAGTTTGTTCAGTGTTCAGAATCGATATCCCATTATTCGTTGACCCCCGTGACTTCAAAAAACACTTTAATTTTTCGCTTAGTTTGATTACACATGATAGCAACAATATCCAGTTCACACTATTCGGTATTTACATTGTTCATATACTTATAGTATTTTGCCTTAGATTTGACCTCGAGACAACTGTCCCGTACGATAATTCTGTTCATAATTTAACGTTATTAATGTTCATTAGGTAAATTTGGCTCAAAGTCGTATCAATACTAGTACTGATACGACATTCAAAATGTAATATGTTTAATGGCAAGGTTATGTATAGCTTACATTACGTAATAATGACACAGAGAAGAACGACAGCATAATGAACACCGGTTACCAGCAATCTATACTACGTCAATAATTTCTGTTACGAAAGTACTCGACCGTACCTATACTACTCCAACATGTTACCTTGACTGACAGACAACATAAGTTCAGAGGACTGTTTGCTTGTCCGTTTGCCATGCGGATTGTTTGCATATCTTCCATATCGACTACATGTTTTTTGCAATGTATCCCGTTTAAAATCATCTGAGTAGCTACTATGCCGTAAATATACTGTATAGAGTGAGTAAAAAATATTACCTGTCGGTCGCAGCAGTGAACAAAAACTAATGTCCTCATTAAAAATGGCGGATAGGTCAAAGGTTCAGTGTAGTGCAATGCCCTGTACAAACATCATGCAAACCTGTGCTATCAGTTAGTCAATAGTGTTGATCCAGTGTGTGTGTGCCCAGGGTGTAGCCCCTTGTAAAAACAGTAAAGGTTACGCACTGATACTAAAATTTCATTGACCGGCAGCTGTGTGTGACTATTACTCATAAATTGTCGTATACTTGTATCCCATGGCTAAGTTAAAGGGTTGAATGCAGTTCATTGTCTTGAGACAGAGAAAGGTGTGTATGACCTCTATTTACCCAAATAACCCCATTTGCCGTGCATTTAAAGTCTAAATTACCTGATACCTTCTGTCTGGTTATCACCCACACCCACTCTCTAAACTAATAACACTAAACCTCTTCCTCATTGGTGTGCTGTTTTTGAAGACATACCATTCTGAATGCTAGAGTGCTACACAAAATTGTTTTAAAACATACAAATACATTATTAGTGAATAAATATGAAGAATGTTGGACACCTACGGCCATATGCACAAAGAGCATGAGATATAATGTTATATAAGCGCTTTGTTATCAAGTATCACTCGTTTTCATGAATACAAACTACGAACCATATACATATGATTGCCTGACTATATGATTATTGCAATTATTGGCAATTCTCATACGTTTATTTGGCTTCAACAAACTGACATTTAGAGGCTTTAATTGTTATATTACCTTTGTTATTATACTGGCGCTGTCAACAAGTATTGTTATTGCACTTCATGTTCAAAACAATAACCGCCGGTGAGATAAAACAGAATTAATGACACGTGCAGTTCTGATTGTCCTTACTGCGCGTGCGCGCTTGGTTTGTTCATATTATGGCGTCGTCTGCAACTTCGATTCTGTCTGCTGCCGGTGAGCCAAATTTTGATTTGGGATTTGATTTCTCAAATCTTGACGACTGAAATGCAGTCCCACGACATTTTGAGAGATGAATGACATGAGAGAACATATTCTCTCCCAGAAAACGAAGAAAGCAACTGCATGGAGTACGTACTGCATGGCAAGAACATCGGCAGTAATTTTGAAGACATTGACAAGGAGGAACATCGTTGTTGGCAGTGTTTTACATTGATGCTCGTAAAGTAAACGGATGCATTATTCTAAAACTTGCACGTTTTGTGATTATAACAAGCAATCAAAGCCATGACAGCTGAAGAAAGTTAGGAAAGTCAAAGTTAACCACCACCCAGAAATAGAACCTGACACCTCTCGTACTTTAGTACAGCGATATTCTTATCACTGAAAAACCAAGGGGATTGGAGAGGAAAGTATTTTTTGATCATATATTGTTCTTGTGTTGCCGAGGTCGTGAAAACCTGCTTTGTACGTCGTTTAGATGGCTTCGAATATATTTTCCAGGTAACCGATGAGATGGACAAAAAACCTGGAATTAATGACGGCATTAGTGATACGATTGGTGAATATCGCATTTATGTCGTTCCAACAAGAATCGAACAGAGACCCTAACAAACACTATTCATACAAGTAACCTGTAGAATACTGTGTGGGTAATATTTTTTATATCGATTTTTGTTGCATTTGCAGCAAATAGTTACCAAACAATGAGAAATCTATAGGATTGAATATACCCCACAGCTGGCTTCACATGCATTGTTCATAGTTCATATGGTGCTTACACCAGGATTTAATTACAGCACCTAGGCGGTATGTGGTTACAGCTTAATGTTCGAGTAATCGCAAGAAATTGACATGACAATAGAAATTCATTAAAGACTGCCACTCCCATGGAATTAACAGCGAGTGAAATTCCTGGGATTGAAACATATATTTTGAAGTCACTGATGTAGGCAACGAATAACTGCAGGTTGACATAAAGACGAGGTAGTTTATTTAATCAGTGGTCAACTAGAGGCTGAAATTATAATTAATTTGTTTATTTCAATTTCTCCTGACGTCAAATAGAATACACTGGTGAAACACGGTAGTAACTGTGGGTGAAAGGATGTTTTGGTGTGTAGTTTACATTGTATATGGAGTGGT